CCCCAAAACCCCAAAACCCCAAAACCCCAAAACCCCAATGAGACAAACCATCTTTGAAATATTAATTAAATTATTAATATAAAATGAATGCAAGAGGATTTACAGAAGGTAAGAATAGCAATTCAATCTCCTGATTGATTACTTACAACCCTTAGTTATTAAAACTCATTTCTTTACACCAAAATTTATGTTTTATTAACCATTACTCACACATGATCTCTAGCGCTTGTATACTGGGACGTAGGAGATGACTATGAATGAATTTCCTTATTAGGAACAGGTTCGTATGGGAGCGTCTGAAAAGGAAGACACAAAAAGTCTGGAAAGGAAGTCGCTATAAAACAAATTAAAGGTATCTTCGATAACCAAACCGACTGTAAACGGATTCTCAGGGAAATTAAGATTCTTAGGAAACTTAATCACCCATACATTATTCGATTATTCGATATTGTGGAACCCAGAGATTTGGACAATTTTTCAGACCTATATCTTGTCCTTCAGCTTGCAGACTCTGATCTTAAATAAGGTTCTAAGGTCAGGGTTATTCCTAACTCCAAAGCATATTAAAGAGATCTTATATAACCTGCTGTCAGCGCTTTACTACCTTCACTCAGCAAAGGTTCTCCATCGGGATTTGAAACCTGCTAATGTCCTAGTAGATGAAAATTGAAGTGTCTTACTCTGAGATTTCGGTCTGGCTAGGTCTATTGCAGTCAAAGAAGCACAAGAAGAAACTAAAGAAGAGGCTAAAGACCTTGAAAATTCTGACCTAACTAAGCAAGAAGATCTGGTTGAAGCAACTCTTAACTCTTCTATTAGCCCACCTGAGCCAAAAAATGATGTTAAGGAAGAGAGTACGTCACCTTCTAATTTCCCTCAAATTTTCATTTACTAAAATCGTATTTTCTTATATTGGCCTAATTTGTCAATAACTATCTCATTATGCAGAAATAATATCGTATAATTTTACAAATAGAAGCTAGCACACAAAACCACAACGCTGTAGCTAAAGAAGAAGACGATCACAAAGTAAGCTAAAACCTTTAAAAAATTCTAGAAAATACCACTTGAACAAGAAAGTGAGGATAGGAAAGATTTTGAGCCATCTTGACATACCCCAAAGCTTAGCTTTAAAAAGCCTCCTACACAAAAGAGGAAACCTAAATCATCACAGCCTAAGAGGAAGATCCAGACAGGGATCTTTAGTATTGGAGCTGATGGTGGATTTACTTCCACTCTATCTAAACCCAGTGCTGGGCCTCCTGCTTCAGGGCCTATCCCAGAGTCTAACAGTATTGTGAAAAAGAGGGACTTGAAAACAATTGATAAAACAAAAACCGAGCAAGATGAGAAGAAAGTTATAGATAAACCCAAGAATGATCCAAAGAAAGACTTAAAAAGTAATCTTTCAGTCCATGTCGTCACTAGATGGTACAGATCTCCAGAGATCATACTGCTTGAGAGAGACTACGGACCTCCCATTGACATATGGTCGATAGGATGCATATTTGCAGAATTATTAACAATGTTAAGAGAAAACGCCAAAAGTACATTTGAAAGAAAGCCATTGTTCCCAGGCTCTTCATGATATCCCCTTAGCCCCTCTGCTAAGAATAAAGAAAAGGGAGGGATCAAAGAGGATCAATTATGAGTAATCATCGACAAACTTGGTACACCAGCTGAAGAAGACACAGAGTTTGTTTCTGATCCAGCGGCTAGGCAATATTTAAAAGACTTGCCTAAAAGTGAGAAGAAGAATTTCAAAGAAATGTATCCCTTCCCTGGGGATGAAGCCCTTGATCTTCTTGATAAGATGTTGCAGTTTAACCCATACAAAAGAGCTAGTCTCGAGGAATGTCTCAAACATCCTCATTTAGATGAAGTAAGAAGGGAATCTAAAATAGTTGCTGCTCCAGAACCCATAATACTAGACTTTGACTTCGAAGACGTTAACACTTCAATTCTGAGAGAACTCTTCGCTGAAGAAATACTTTACTACAGGAATGCCTTCAAAAGGAACCCTAGAAGACCTGAAACTCAGGTCTCCATGGTTGAAAAGAAGATTTATTCTAAACTTCAGTCTTAAACATTATGAACGGGGTTTTGGGGTTTTGGGGTTTTGGGGTTTTGGGG